CTATAGTAACAACGTCTCATCTCAATTCACTATACGGGTTTTACCACTATTACCACTATTACCACTACTACCACCAGTACCACTACCACTACCACTACCACTACCGCTACCGCTACCACTACCACTACTACTGCTACTACTACTACTACTACTACTACTACTACTACTACTACGACTACTACGACTACGACTACGACTACGACTACTGATCCACTACTCTGACTCCTACTACTACGACGACCACGTACCACTACTTCTACCACCACTACGACGACGACCACCACTACCACTGCCACTGCAAGAAGACTTCGTGGATGTGGTTAAGCCAGGCCATGTGAACTTCAGATGCGATCGCAGTGAAGGCCTGCTTTTGCGCCCTGCGCCTCATACCCAAGCTCAGAGGTCACGTCCTGTACCACGATGCCCCAAGAGCAAGGAATAGAAAAAGCTTGTCTCTTCACGCTCTTCTCATAGCGACACCAGTCAACCCCGGACCAGGTTTACAAAAAATTGCTGTCATTGAAAGTACTGGCTGGTGTGCAAAGGTAACTGCACTCAGTTCAAAAATCGCGGTGCAAGGCCCCAGCTGGCTAATGCCTCTGCTCACATCAACTGATGGCCCAAATCTGAAACCGAATCCGCAGTCCTCAGCTGGGGCTTGAGGGCCTTCCGCAAGTCCAGAGGTCTCATCCGGAAACGAAGGCTCGGTGTCCTGGAAGTATGAACGGAGCAACCACAAGGAAAGGCTCCGACGATCCTCCGGTGTTTCACCTATTTATTTGCCATGTGGACTTGGCGGCACAAGCTCCATGCGGGCAGCCGAAAAAGAAGCAACATGCCAAATGCTTTGCTCGAGCTAAGCCTCGTCTTCATAGCGACAAGGCAGAAGCCCATAGAAGTGAGGGGGCAGACCGTGCATGACCGTGCTACTAGTAGTGGCAAACGCCGGCACCGCCTGAGAAGCGTGTTCCCCGACCTGTTTAAGTGGTAGACTGGTTCTGGAACAGCAGTCCGTGTCGAAAATTGGACAATCAAGTCGCAGTTAGAAAAACTATTTAGCTGTTCCATCGGCATGGCAGGGTCAAACTTTGAAATATGTCAGTGACAGCCCGGATGTTGATCAAAATTTGATCACCTTCATCTTCCCCGCCCCTCATCCTTCCCCTTTCAGACATTCTCTCCACAATGTTTTCAAGAAACATCCCCCCCCTGCCGCCGCCCGCTTCTCTTTACGACCCAGAACAGAATCATCAAATCCGATGACCACCCGGTTCGATTCACATTCCCCATGAGCTGTGGTTTGGCCTGAGCGGGTTGGACTGTCGCAGAGCTGCGTCCTCCACTGGATCTGGAGGGGTGTCACTGACCTAGCCAAGCTGAGAAGGTCGGTCAAAAAGGATTGCCCCTCGGCTCTTCAAACGAACTTCAAAGGCAGCAACGGCTTGTGGATGCTTGGGATGCCAAGCGATTAGACTCTATCCCCAGCTTAGGATATGCAAATGCAACCAGCTCGAGCAACGCAACTACACGCAACTACAAGCGATGGAATCGCCTTCAGCTCATTTGCACTGTTTCGGAGTTCAAAACGGCTCTTGGCGATCTTAGGAACTGGGCAGGTGTGGGCAGCTTTCGGCGGTTCCAGGCTGTGGATCTTCACTCTGGGCAACTGTCCACATTTGCAAGAAACCCAAACGAATCCAGGGGAGCACACCATCCAAGAAGAGGGTGGCTTCAGAGATGGCAGCTTGTCCTCCGAGACTACCCACAGCATGACGTAACCGCCGATCATCGTTACAGCTTCTGTTTTGCCTCTGCGTCAGGCAAGCCGCGGGGAGCCTGAAATCAACAGACACAAGCCACCAAGCGTCGTCATCCCCACAGTGTGGGCTGAGTTTCTGACGAGACCGGCAAGCTCAAGCAGAGCGTTTGCTGCTGCACGGTTCGGACCTTTCCCCCCCCACCCGGCTCATGTCTGTCACATGGTCAATGCGAGCATCGGTTGCTGGGTCCGAGGCTGGCCCCAAGCAAAACAAACCGGTCGAATGATTTGCGGATCATAATAGTTGCCTTTCGCTGCACAGCTGCTGGCGGACCTTCACTGTGCACACTCACTCGATCTGCAAATCAAGGGCATTGTGTCGAACATGCTTCCCTGCAATCAAGTCCTGGCAATCTCAGCTAAGGCTCGGGCGTCCTTGGCAACATTGCTTCAGTTTCTTCCTCTTCAGGACCTAAAAGACACTGCTCCGCTGGCTTGGACTTGCATACGTAAGAAGTAAGCAGATCTCGCACTTTGGCAGCCTGTCGCCCCACGAGCTTCGAGGCTATTGCCCCTCACAACTTTCCAAGTCGATGCCTCGGCCTTCCGCACCCGATGACAATCAGAACTGGAAGCATGCGCCAATGTCAGGCAAACCCGCATCGTCCTGCACTGGGTCGCCGTCCAATGTGACCCAGACCGGTGCGTTGCTGGGCAACAGAACTTCCGAGGATGCAGGTGCAGGGTTCAGATTCGCGGCAGCCTCGGCAACCATCGAAGGCAAAGACAAAGCTTGATGCCAGGTGTATCTCCGGTCACCGACCTCCAACACATGTGCAGGATCAGGTGCAGCACGGCTGCTTCCCGCAAGGCCATCTGCTCCGAAAGGACGCAATTCAATTTCAGGCCAAAATGCGATCATGAAGGTAATTCGCCGCAGTGGCTCTTCCGAACAGGGAGCTACACCGCAACCTGGAACGACGCCATGGAAATACTTGCCTTCGTAGGCCGCCAACCGGCCCTCGTTCGGATGCACGAACCAGCCCCTTCTTCCTAGAGACCCGCTGGCAAGCACCTGATCCGTTACCAGCGTCGGTCCACCAATGCCGCGTGGCGCCATCACGTACAGCACGCAACTACAAATGGGGTTGCGCACCCCACCAATGCCTTCGTTGTCACTGTCGTAATGCATCTGATGACCACAAGCATGTGGACGCTTGTGGGCCCACCATTCTGCAACCTTGGCCTCCGACAATCGGGAAAAGTAGCCTCCTTTCTTTAAGAACTCCCACACATGCCGGAGGATGGCATCTAGAGCGTTCTGCTCTTGCCCAGTCAGAGTCTGAATGTAGCTGAAGTATCCATTTTCCCCACTTCCCGTCACCTCGTTGTAACCATGCTCACTCCAGAACCGGGAGTCCGGAGCTAGAAACTGCTGCAAACGCTGGAACAAGCTCGGCGGTAATGCGTTGTCAAAAACACATCCGGGAAACCCTGCAGCGTCGACGGAAAGCTGTGCAGAGGAGCATCGCCAAATCCAGGATGCTAGCCTGTATTGGTAACCGGCAGATTGCAGCAACGGAAGGGCCTCCTCCTCGCGTCCTTCCTGGAGCAAAAGGACGGCAAGCCTGGCTAAAATTGCGCGCTCGTTCGTCGCAGCTTCACCCGCAAGGGCCTGACGCAAAACTTGCTCGCACGCATCCGGATCACCGTCACTCGATGTTGCCATTACGTGCAACAACTGAGCAAACCGAAGCGCCACGTCCGTGAACCGGCTTGGACTGAGCACTAAGACTTTGGCATAGGCCTCGCGAGCACCATGCCAATCCCCATTGCGCTCCAACACCTCCACCTCTTGAACTGCATCTTCGGCATCGGCTGCTGACCACAACCGTGTGGCGACTGCCTGCAGTCTTCGTGCTGTGGCCTGCAATGTACGTTTTGTTTTTGGGAGGTTGCGCTTCAATTTCTTGACGACTGTCACACCCAGCTCAGCACGCAACAACCGTTGCAATATGTCGATCTCACATTCTTCTAGCTGCTCGGGTGGAGGATGCCCAGTTTCTGATTGAAATGTTGCAAGAAGTTTCGCCCATAAATCGTTCCATCGATCATCGTAGGCATCCATGCTACTTTTTTCCGATTTGCAAGTGCAAGCCGTCTGCCGAATGTTTGTCATATCGAAAATCAGAACATGCACACATCAACCGGGACTATAAACCATCGAAACCAATTAAGCTGTATGCAAGTGCACTAACGCTACTGGACGTGCGAACGATAGCGCGGAAAAATCCTCATGGATTGCAAAAGTGATGACCAATGCTGCTCAATGGGCGCACTAGTGCTAAGAAGCAGCCACACAATTTTGAAGGTTGAATCATGTGTCTGACACGCATGGCACATTCTCAGCAACAACACAGCTTGCACCCGGCGAAACTCACTGGTTTGAACTGTCACGAACCTGAGCCGCAGACGCACTTCTCCGAGGCGGGTCTCACCGATTCTTGGCCCCAGATCAGCATAACGTCAAGAACATGTCAACATGCCACATTTACACAACCACATGGAATCAACTACCGCTACAGCGAGGAACATGCCAGTGGCAAAAATTGACAGGGTGAAGGCTGGCAGGCGTGCCTATCAACAGCTGCTAGGGCCCACACTGCACAAGCGCGACGCATTTCGAAGAAGCCTCTACGACACGAGGCAAGCAAACTGGCTGGTTGTCGTTCCTGCGGGCTGGTGGCGCCTCTACTTTTACTCCAACAGTGCCAAGTGTGATGTGTCTGAGCACATATAAAGCACATCTGATCTGAGTCGACGGCTTTCCTTGCCAAACATTGCAACCAGACCGGGTCATGGCGGCCAGCTCGTGTGGCGACAAATTTGGCTGTGGTCAAAGCAGAAGTACAGGCAGCCAGTGCTGATGAACTTGGTTTACCATAGCGGTTCTCGTGTCTCACACGCCGCAAACACCGAAACTCGAAAGCCTTGGCAGCTGCGCAGATCCTCCGTCAGGTTCTCTTTTTTTTAATTTTTGGGACTATACTGCGACGACGCAAGAATCCTCAGGTTGTGTCGAACATTGGAGATTACCAACATAACAACCCGC